GCTATTGAGTTACTGAAGTTAAATCATTAAAAGTAACATTTTAAAATATCTACTGTTGCAGGGCCTGGTGGTCTACATCCTTTAATCCCAGCTCTTGGGAGATGGAGGCAAAGGCAGAAATTTCTCTGTGAGTCTGAGGATAGCCTGGTCTGCAAGCAGTCAGGGAAAGAGCTCTCTCTCCCTGTGAGACTCCTGGAAGGAAGAAAACCACAAAAAAACAAACAAAGGTACATGTTATGCCAAGATAGTGTAGATAGGAACACTTCAGAAGTATTTTGAAGCATGACAATAATGCAGAAGCAACATGTTTCTATTAAAATTAAATTGTATTGGCAATCTGAAATATGGAGAAAAAAAGGTATGGGCTGGGCAGGTAGCTCAGTAACAGATGGTTTGACTATCATGCATGAGACCTTGGGTTCAATCTCACCTCAAAACAAACAAACAAAAACCCACAAACAGTGACTTATTCACATTTTCTAGGATACTAGGGGTTATTAAAAGTTTTGAATAATTAATTAATAATTAAATCTCCAACACAATATTACATAAAAATTTGGAAGCGTTATAATCAAGAAGTTAGTAAAAGATTCTTTTATCCTCACTGACTTAATCGCCTGATCACACTACTGAAAACTACTGTAAAAGGTGTTCTTTCTGGGAGCATCAGATGGATGCTGGACAGATCAGTCTTCTCAACTGAAGCTACATAAAGACATGAACTAGAAATGTTTTACTTGTAGAAGACTTGGAAACACACTCTAGCTCAGTAATAAGAGTACTTTCTAGTATTTTTAAGGTCTTAGGTTCCACACCATGAACACAGAAAAACAGGGAGACAGGGAGGGAGAAGGTGATCAGGGTGATTTCAAAATGACTTCCTAAAGATACTGCTACCGTGAGTTGAGAACACCAAAAGTAAACAGCAACCAAAACATAGGTAAGAAGCTAGGAAGATCACTCAGCAAACACCTGCCTAGCAGCAGCAACATATCTCACAAACTAGACAGGACAGAGAGGCAGAGAAGTTCAATAGCCTGAGATTTGAGACCAGCCTGGAATAAAGGAGAGCCTGTTTCATAACCAAAAAGGAAAGTACAGATTACGAAGCTTTTGTAACTTTTTCATGTGTACTCGTTAAATTAACTGCTAGAAACTGTTAACAAGTTCTGTCAATTTATTATATTTTACACTCATCAAGTATAATTTTTTTAAAAAAATCCAAACAGTCCCCAAATTTATTTTATCTTAACTTCACTGAGTTTAGAGAGCAATAGTCTAAATCACATATCTGGCTGGGGTCTGCCCAAAATTTCAAGAATCTGCTAACATTCTTGGTTATATTCTACAACATAAATTGAATCAGCAGTATTCAGGATCATTCTAATTCTAAAATTAGTTCACTAAAATAAAATATAAGCGCTGAAGAGATACCTTGGGGAGTAAATGTGGCTTGGCACCAAGTCTAACAACCTAAGTTTGATTCTCAGAACCCACATGGTAGAGAACCAGGTCTGACCTCCACTCACACACCATGGCAAGTGGCACCAAGATAAGTACACACCTCTTTTCCCCTCCCCCCTACCCCACCCACCCACACCCACACACTCACTTATAAAATAAAAAAGGAAAATAAGAATCACTGAAAACCCAAAACTCACATTTTTCCAAATCTCTTTTTCTTTTTCTTTCTTTTTTTTTTTTTTTTTTTTTTTTGGCTTTTTGAGACAGGGTTCCTCTGTGTAGCCTTGGCTATCCTAGACTCACTTTGTACACCAGGTTGGCCTCAAACTCAAAGAAATCCACCTGCCTCTGCCTCCCAGAGTGCTAAGATTACAGGCGTGAGATTACAGGAATATGCTGGGCCATCTTCCAAATCTGTTACTATTAATCATACCTTAAATTACTGTATGAATAAATTCTATTAAATTTTAAACTTAAAAAAATAAAAATAAAAACCACTACCAAAAGTCCTTGTATGAGTCTGGTAGCATTTGGTGTTTTCCTAATTTCTCTTTTTAAAGAATCCAATAAATCATCAAAATTGTATTTTGCATAAAACAGAAAATAAAAAAGTTAATTTTATTAACTTAGCTAATATTTTTTAAGAGCAAGGTAGCCTTGCTCTGTAGCCTCTGGAGCTTGCAAATTATCTTGCCTCAACTTCCTGAGTGCTAGGAGAATAGAGTACTATTAGAATTATATTATTTTACTACTTTCCATGCAAGGTAAGGTTGCAATATACTTTTAACTATAGTGTAACACATAACACATAAATACTCATGAAATATAAATTACGTATGTTATAGCATCAATAGTGGGAGGGGAAGAACATTCACTCCCAGTATCATATACAATAATAGAAATATACCATTAAAGAAATATGTACAAGGATGTGGGCCTTCCAACTCTTGGCTCAGCTAATTTTTAATAAATCTCCATATCTAAGTGATACTATGGCAAACTGCCAAAACACTGTTAATCCACACTACAGTTGAACTGAAAGGTTTCCACTAACAAATCCACATCATAAGAAACATGGTAACTTTCAAGAGCTAGTTTTTCTGCCTATAACAACTTAAAAATCAACTGTTCTTAGAAGCATAGCTATTTAAACACTATCCCATTCTTTTTGATGATATAATCTTAGAGGATTTGGTAATTATGTGTCTACTAACATAAAACTGTTTACTGACATGACCATCACAGAAACTAGATACCAGACATTAGAACACAGTTCTGACTATCACTTTTTTAAGAGACTATCAACAAAACAAGTTCAAGAGCCATGGCCAAGAAAGTGGAGAAATACTAATTAAAATATGAAAGGTCAAGTGAAAATATATAATGCTACATGAACACAACAAGGTACCAAACAGAAACTGTTTTACGACTTTATGAGAGAAAACAACAAATGGAGAGAAAACACAACCATTATAAACTAGCAAAAACCTACAAGAAGATTTAAACTTGTGAGAGAGAGAGAGTTCAGGAGCTAGAAAGCACTTGCAGCATGCTCTTTGGAGGACCTGGGCTCGGTTCCCAACACCACAATGGCACATCACAGCTGCCTGAAACTTCTGTTGCAAGAGATCTTGTGCCCTCTCACTCTCTTTTGGCCTCCACCACCAGGCACACCCGCGGTGGTACATGTGGAGTATTTACAAAATGTATGAGTGTAAGCAAACACTCGTAATACAAAACAATATGAGAAATCAATCTGTTTAAAATTTGAAAACAGAGAAGAGTGGCAAGTATGGTGGCACACTATAATCCCAAGAATCTGAAACAGGAGGATCACTGAGAACAGCCTAGGTTACCACAGTGAGCCCAAGGCCAACATGAGTTAAATTGTGAAATACTGTCTCAAAGAAACAAAACACAACAAAACAAAAAACCCCCTAACACTCTTAGGAAGAAGAGGGAAGAGGGATTTCAGCACTAAATATTAAACAAATTTAAACATTCACTGTCCATTTGGAAGGACCACAAAAGCATTTCTTTAAAAAAAAAAATAAAAAAAAAATTCACCATTTTGCTGGGTATGGTGGTTCACACCTTTTCAAGCTCAGCACTTGGGGAGAAGAGAGACCAGCATATCTCTCTGAGTTCAAGGCTAGCGTGGTCTACACAGTGAGTTTCAGGACAGCCAGGATTACACAATAAGCCCCCATGCCCCGGTCTTAAATAAAAGATTACCATCTAGATATTATTGCAAGTTATGTGTCTTTTTAAGCCTATGCTCTTGGGAAATTCTAAAATAATCAGAATAAGCTCCATACTTAAGAGATGGTGTATTTCAACGCAGGCCTACAAAAGGAGCTCTGTGATTGCACAACACAGTAAATGAAACAATATCTATTAACACTCAGTGGCCACGGCATGTTTCTGCAATTGCCCAGAACATACTGTGACTTCGCCTGCTCACTGCACAGCCTACCACTTCTCCATCCATGTAGTCGCTCCGATATAAGGAGTTCCTGTACTAATCCTACAATAGGCCTCAGTAATTCCCACACCTCAGTAGCTGTAAACCTTTGTTAACAGAAAAAGAATGTTTTTCCCAAAATAGCCACATCACAAGAGGACAACTCAAATTCCTTAATAATCCCTTTACAAGACTCCTGCCAGCTTTATTTTGATACATTAAACATGTGGGGCCTATTTTAAAAGTTCTCTGTGACTTACCAAAACAGCTTCGTAGTTGTTTTTAAGTTTCCAAGTTGTTTTTAGAAGCGCTTGAATACTGATGAATTTGGGCTGCTATCAAATGCTTAAGAGGCATTTATTTGCCAAATAAGATGGGCAAACTTCCTAGAGGTGCTAAAACTGGTATTAGAAGTCACGCAACTTTAAAAAAAAAATGAAAAAAAAAAATGGCTCCAACTTTGACCAAGCCCTTCATTTAGAAATTTACTTCAGGGTTATTTTCACTTGTGCTTAATCGGACTTTTTTTTTTCCTTAAAGGCTCTTTACAATTAATGGGCCTCCAGTAAATTTGGGACGGAGTTGGTAATAATTTCATTTAGAAAGTCCACTGTGAGGCACGACACCCGAAATTTTCCGACGGTGGATGGGGGCAGGCGGACAGACCCAGAGACACGAGCCGCGTCTGGTTGCAGGAGAGAAACGGACCCGGGCACGAGAGGAGGGAGGAGGCCAGGAGCGGCACAGACAGAAAGGCCAGCAAGTTTTCACAAGGAAGTGAAGCGGAGCGCGGAGGGCAGAAGGCGCCCCGGGGAGCAGGGCGGGAAGGTGCTGACCAGCGCGGCGTCCGGGGCCGGGGGAGCCGCGGCCGGGGCGGCCCGCGCGCCCGGGGCGCTGCCTGCTCGGGAGCCGCCGACCTGCGCGCGAGCCGGCGGACTGGTCCCTCGCCGCGCTCCCCGGAGCCCCGCGCGCCCGCGGAGGCGGCGGCCCGGGCCGGGCCTACGCCCGGGCCTCCGAGCGCAGGCTGGCCGGGCGGCCGTTCCCCGCTCCGCCGGGCGCCCAGCGGCCTTACCTGAGGCGAAGGCGGGAGGCGAGGTCTCGCGGGCTCGCCCGCCACACAGCCGCCCGCGGCCCCCGGCTTCCTCCCGAGGAGCGACACCGCCTCAGCCGCCGCTTCGCCCTCGGGGGCTCGGCCACCGCCGCCCGGGCTGTTTACACCGTCCGGCCCCTCACGCCGCCGCCGCCGCCTTCTCTCCAACCCAATGCCGCTGCCGACTCGGCCGCCGCCGCCACCTCCGCCGCAGCCTGATCTCTCTGGAGCATCTTCCAGCCACCGGACACGGAGAAACAGAGACTCCAGCCGCGCCGGCAGGAAACTCCCCCGCAACTGCCAGGGGAGGACCAGGCGGTCAGAGCACCGGCGGCTTTTCCGCCATTGAGCAGCGGCCGCTCCGCTCCTCCTGCAACCCCCTCCCCGCACCGCCGTCTTTCCCCGCCCCTACTCGGGCTCCGCCCTCCACGGACACCCATTGGGGCGCCGCGCGTGTCGCCGCGGCCTCCGGTTTGCTGAGAGGCCTGTCAATCTCCATCCTCCCGCCCCGCCTGGCTCGCAGTACCCTCTGTGCTCCGCTTGCCCCGCCCACGCGGCCCCGCCTCCGAGTCTTTAATTGCCCATTGGGCGTCGGTGCCCACCTTTAATTGGCAAGGTCAAGTATCCATCAAACACCGCCCACCATTGAGGCCCAACCCTTCATTAGCATTTACTTTATTCAGCCCCGCCTCCGCGCCGCTCTCCCTCCCGACGTCACCGGCCTGCCCACTCTAGTAGCCATAGGTACAGCCCTCCGTCAATCAAATTATGCCTGCTTGGAGACCGGCCCCCTTGTCTGATTGGTCCAAGTGGAGGCCTGACCCTCCGTTTATTGGTTTCCTCGGCTTGTCCGCCCCTAAACCAATTTCCGAGTCCGGCACTCCGGCTTTTTTTAAAATGAACGCGCAAAAGTATCCTAAAAGCGATTGGCTAGTCTTCGGGGATGGCCAAGCCTAGAGTCTGCGGACCCTACAGTGCCGTGACCTCTAAGCCTCGCGGAAAACGAACGCCATCAAGGAACCAACGGGCAGTCCAGTTATAGGTGGACGCTGGTCCCGCCCTGGACTGGGGAGACCCGGCTCCTGATTGGCTAAAAAAGTGTCCCTAGGCCCCCATTGGAGCAGATGGACGCCTCTCTTTTGGCGTCGAGACCTGAAGGGAGAGCACAGACCCGGTCGAGAAATGGCCTGGAGAGAGGCGTTGTTTTGTTTTAGCCAGGGGTGGGGCGCCGCACGCGGGAGTGGAAAACTGGAGGCGTAGGGCCCTGGGGAGGTGTTGTTGGGAGGGAAAAAGCCCGGATGTTCCCTAACAATGAAATCATCTCCGGCCAATCAGAACCTCATTGTTGGGATACCTGCAGGACCTGTCTCTAGCTGGGGAGAGTGGGCGGAAAGTTGAGGAGGCTGAAAAGCCACTTGAGAAAAAGGGACAGGCGATCCCTTCGGGATGATCTTGTGATGGTTCAAATTGTTTTTATGTCTTCTTTACCCACCGCCTGCCCCTGAGCTCTTGGCAATTCTGTGTTTTGTTTCTCAGCGCTGATTTTTAAAACTTCCCGTCTAGGCTCTTGACATTGACTAGGACATTCCTCTCTTAGAGCACCTGCTGTTTGATAGGCACGGTGGGCAGAAGTGGAGATACAAAAGTAAAGCTGGCAGGCAGTCCCAGACCGGGCTGGTAGCTGATCACTGAAACGTGTGAAAGGGTAGTGATGACATAAAGGATTTCCCTCTGGCTGTGATTACTAGGAAGGCTTCATAAAGACCGGGATGAATCCAGAATAAACTGCAGGAGTTCTACAAGGCAAAGGAAGGAAATCGTCCTCTATCAAGCAGATTTGGCTAGAAAGTGAAATAGGTTAATTCCTCCAAATGAAAGTGTAACGGAGCATTTAAACGTTTGCCCTAAGAGATTTTATAGACGCACATGCTGGTATTTACACAAGTCTTTGAAAGACTTTTGAAACCTCATTCATACCTAGATAATAAGTTAGCTGGGACAGTTTAAGCTTAGATTCAAGGAATGATAACTCGGCTTTAGAGAGAAGGTTTTAGTTCTGAAGCAACTGCCACGGCGAGAGGGGCAGAAATAAATGCTTGATTGCAGTTCAGATTCTTCTGAAACTTTAAGCTTAAGGACGGCGTCTTAGGGTTTCTATTGCTACGATGAAACACCATGACCAGGAGGGAAGATGGAGAGGAAAGGGTTTATTGGGCTTACACATCCACAATGTAGTCCATCACTGAAGGAAGCCAGAACAGGAACTCAAACAGGTCAGGAACCTGGAGAGGAGAGCTGAACCAAAGGCCATGGAGGGGTGCTGCTAACGGGCTTGGCCACAGGACCTGTTCAGCTTGCCTTCTTATAGAACCCAAGACCACCTGCCAGAGGGCAGCGTCACCAACAATGGGCAGGACCCTCCCCCATCAATCACTAAGAAAATGTTGTAGAGGCTGGCCAACAGCCAGACCTCAGGGAGGCATTTCCTCAATAGAGGTCTTCTCCTCTCAGATGACTATGGTTTGTGTCAAGTTGACATAAATCTAGCCAGCACAGATGGTATTTCCACAGGCTAATGGTCAGAGCCACCTGAGATCCAAAGGTTCATTCATGCCTACAAAATCCTGAAATCTGGGGCTAAAACTCAGAAAGGTGAATTTTTATTTATTGTGATTCTGGGGATTGAACTTCGAAAGGTAATTTTAAAAATAATTCTTCATGTGCTGGGTTTGGTTTTGGTTTTTGTTGTTTTGGGTTTTTTGTTTGTTTGGGAGTTTTTGTTTGCTTTTTAGTTTTGTTTTGTTTTGTTTTGGTTTTTTGGCACACCAACTCTTAGACCCTATGGCAGTGAGGATTGGAGACAGCCATAAAAAGCCTTCTCTGTTTTTGCATACTGTAGGGTGAGCAATAAGGAAAAGGAAGTAAGCCCAATTTAGTATTCACTATCCCTTCAAGGGTCCTCACTATGGAATCAAAAGGTTTTATTTTAATTACAGTGTGTGTGTGTGTGTGCGCGTGCGTGCGTGCGTGTATATGAGTGTTTGGAATGGAGGTCCAAGGACCACAGAGTCAGTTCTTACCATCATGTAGGTCCCAGAGAAGAACTCAGCTTATCAGCTTGATTGCCTGCTCTTCTACCTGCTGAGCCATCTTTGCCAGCCCAGCAAGTGTTGTTTAAATGTAGAATATATTTCTTTAAATCACACCTTGCTTAGGACACCTTATATAAGGAGACCGGAGTCTGGGACCTCACCTTTCAAAACAGGGACCATTCTAAAGGTAAAAAAAAATAAAATAAAATAAAGACCTTGGATACCCTCGTCTTCAGGATCCAGGCAAGCACAGATGTCAGAGCACTTTCTTGCCCTGCTTGCTTTCCTCGCTGTCCTTTGGCAGACCCTACAAAGTGATCTGAGGTTCAGTAATGTAACTGGGCTGATGACTGCATACAGCTCATTCTTTAATTGTTAAAAAGAAAATATGCTGAGTTTTTAATGTCTAAGAATACAATGAGCTCATAGACAAAAACAATTAGGCTCACTTTCTCCTAAGAGTTACTCAGGTTTAACACTAAACCCTTAGGGAGCACATGCCTGTAATCCCAGCACACGGAGACAGAGGCAAGTGGAGTTCTGTGAGTTCAAGACCAGCCTGGTCTACAAAGCGAGAGAAATCCTGTCTTGGGTCAAAAGAAAACATTAAACCCTTAAAGTAGGCCCCAAAAGATTCATAAGTTTAAACAGTAGTGTGTATCATTGTAGATATGTGATTCGTCATGTGCAAAGAGTACTGTCATAATATTAGGCCCTGCAACTACCTGGTATTGTGATGATTCAGTAACTGCATGCTGAGCCTTGATTTGTCCAGTCTTAATACCTTTCTCTAGAACCACATGAAGAGTATAGAGACTCCTATAATAGAAAGTACTCTCCAATATGTCATTTAAAATTAAAATAATGCTAAGTGTAAAGTAGAAAATCATTCTGATTTAGAGGCCCTTTTATGTTTGGGGGGTTTGCTTTTATTTGTTGGGAGACAAGGTCTCTTTATGTAGCCCTGGCTGTCCCGAAACTCCCTATACATAGGACATGCTATGCATGTCATGCACATGCTGACCTCAAACTCACCAAGATCCCTGTTAAGTTTCAAACCTAGGACACGTGGCTGAGGTGCCTATTTGACATATCAAAGCAGACCTGGCCTCCAGGTTCTCCCAGCATCCTTCAGTCTTTACCTGGTATGGCTGGCATATTATGCCCTCTATGCTAAAGTCTCCAGCTCCAGGACTGGGCTGCCCTTCCTCTAGAGGCTTTTTCCTATTGGACCCAGATGTTTTGGTTACTCACTCCTTTTTGTGCCTTTTGTACCGTTGGTGTCCTGGCTGCTCTACTGGGTACCTCTTTCTCCCTTCCCCTGTCTCAACATGGTTAAAGGTCAAGACCACTCACTCTCCCACATATCTACAATAAACTTTCTCTTCCGCCATTCATGGGCGCAGCCATATCCTTTCCTTTTTATTTCCTTTTTCATTCAGTTGCTTTGTCTCTGCCTCCTGGGTGCCTCTGTTAAAAGTTTGCACCATCACTCCAGCTCTGGGGTTCTTTTTAAAATAAGACATCAGGGTTGGGAAGATGCCTTCAGTCATAAAGAGCTAGCCTTGCAAGCACTACAGTCTGAGTTCCATCCCCGGAACTTACATAATAAAAAGCTGAGGGTGGCATAGGATTGTATCCAAGCACTGGAGAATCGGAGACAGGTTCATTGACCAACCATATACATACATACATACATACATACATACATACATACATACATACATACATATATACATATTTGGTTATATATATATGTACACACATATATATGTATGTATGTATATAACCATCCCGGGGCCGGAGGAATAAGTCAGTGGGTAAAATGCTTGCTTCTTGATGCATGAAGTCTCAGGTTCAGCCCCTAGCAACACAGAAACCATGTGTGGAGGTACACCCCTCAAATATTAGCACCTGGGAGGAGGAAGCAAGATCAGTAGTTGAAGGCTATTCTTGGCTGCACATGAAGAATACGCTGAAGCCAGGTAGGGTGGTACACACCTTTAATCCTAGCACTCAGGTATGCAGAGGCAGCCAGATCTCTCTGAATTCGAGGCCAGCCTTGTCTACAGAGTAAGTGCCAGAACAGCCAGGGCTACACACAAAGAAACACTTTCTAGAAGAGAGAGAGAGAGAGAGAGAGAGAGAGAAATCACTGAGTCCAATATTATGACAGGCATTTCTGGCCTTTAGACAGGGTCTTATTGTGTAGCTCAGGTTGGAACTTACTTCGTAGCCAAGGCTGGCCTCAAACTCAGCAACCCCACTGCTT